ACCTGATGTGTACATCACATGCGTACAGGAATACAACAAAAAGTCATGTGTGGCAGTTGGATGGCACAGGCTCCTCAAAAAAGCTTGGTTATGATATTTCTTTCAGTTTGATTTGATCAGAAGCTTCTTCATAAAAGTACAAATGTAAAACATCCTCACTTCTCCGCTGTTGCTGTTGTTGCTCTCCTCTGTGTTTACTCTTACTGGTTTGTGAGAGGCTGACAGTGACTGATGATGACAGGCGATAAGAGCATGAGGAGTGAGACATTGAAGAAGAAAAAATCACACGAGTTCTGCTCTGATTGTTTCGACAGCGGTTGCATGGTCAAATATCCGATCTAGTCAGGCTAATTTTATTTATATTGCATAATTAAAATCAACAAGAAGTTGACCAAAGTACTTTACAAAGGACAGAAGATAGAAAGACACATCACCATAAACAGCATTCAGACCTCCAAAGCAGAAACTAAAATATAAGTGGTTTGAACCAAACTTAAATGAACTAACCGTTAAAAAGATCAGACTTGAGGTACTTGAGCAGGTAAAGTAAACATAGGTAAAAGGTCTGGGACAAGTGAGAAATATGACCTGATCTGTATGTTTAGTATTTCTCTGTTTGCAGGTCTTCTTGTTTACTTCTTATCGCACTGTCACTGATATTGAGCCAATTCCATTCAGATTAAAGGTGTAGGCACCTCCACACTTGTCCAAACTTGCAGGGAACACATTTGAAATATCTCAGTGGACTTAGAAAGGTGTTGTCCATGCAAAACACGGTAATCTCTACCAACTATCTTACAGCTGACCTTATGTTGTTTAGTGTTTTCCCCCAAGTTCTGTGTGAACCGTGATCGTCTTTCCTTATCCCACAGGTACGACCCTTCACTCTGGGCCAGCTGAAAGAGCTGCTGAGCCGGACAGGCAGTGTGGTGGAGGAGGGCTTCTGGATCGATAAGATCAAGTCTCACTGCTATGTCACAGTGAGTTCTGACAAATGAAACCTTTAAAATTAATGTATGCATATACTGTCTTTTTATCAAATGCAGAACTGTTTGGAATAATTAGTGTTTGGTCAATGTAGAAGGAGCCGCTTTATTTTATTGTAACATTGTGACACATACAACGAAGTTTTGTTTGGAGCTGAGAGCCCCGAGCCGCTGCATGCATGTGCGCCGCCATCACGGGCAACTTGGGGTGTTTGGTGTCTTGCCCAAGGACACGTCCACATGTGGACTTCAGGCTACGAGATTCGAACTTTCAATCTTCCGGCCAGGAGGCAGCTGCTCTACCCACCGCACCTCTATCACCCCAGATGTAGGGAACGGTTGTGACAAGTGGATCTAGTTTACTGCTGTTCTCTGAGAGAAAGCTTTTGGAAATGTACTGTATATCCACTTAAGTATTATACATTTTTGCAGGAAGACATCTGAGCTAAGACAAAACAAAGTATTTGTGAGATTATCACTTCACCTCACCCACTATCAGCTCTGTGTTCTCCATCTGCTCCTGCAAGTCTTTTTTTGCAGTGTGTGTTGGTTAAGATGTGGTTTTACTTGAAAATGTTTTTTTTTTTTTGTCTAACATTATTCCTGTCCTCCTCTCCTCATAGTATGCCACAACAGAGGAGGCAGTTGCCACTAGAACTGCCCTCCACGGGGTCAAATGGCCTCAGAGCAACCCCAAGGTCCTCAATGTGGACTTCTGTGAACAGCATGAGGTAATAGACCAATTGCAGTGGGATCTGAAATGCCTTGGGGATGATATTCAAGTATCATGGTTAAAATGATGTCACCTGTAATTATTAGCAGTTACAAAACAATTTTACTGTGCTTTTACAAAAAAATCTAAGTTGTTTTGAGCTACATATCAGATTATAAATAAAAAAAATTCAATGATTGTTGCATGCAAAATCTGAATCGGTGTCTGAATCTGTTATTCCTGTGCAGACAAGCATGCAGTTCATCCACCAGGTTTGCTTTTTGTTAAAGTACTTTACAGTAGTCCATTATCTCTGCAACAAACCGGAAGTAAATTTACTGGTTTTCTAAATGAAACTCTTAGACCCAACTGCATCTAATGTCTTCTCCAAATTCTAACACACTGTCTCTGTATTTCTGTCCTCTTTTCCTGTAGCTGAACTTCCACAAATGGGGCCAGAAGCCAGAAAAGGGAGAGGACCGTGTAGAGGACCATGTTGCCCAGCCAGGTGGTCCTCAGAACCGACTGCCTCCTCTAATGCCTGAGAAGGACAGGGACAGAGAAAGAGACCGTGACAGGGACAAGGAGCGAGAACAAGATCGGGAACGAGACCATGGAGCAGGAGGAGTGCGGGATCTGTGGGCAGAGCGGGAGAGAGCAATGGAGCGCCGGGAGCGGGCCCGAGGTGAACGGGAATGGGACCGGGATAAGGTTCGGGAATTTGTGAGACCAGGAGAGGATGGGCGACGATCTCGATCCAGAGAGAGAGAACGGAGGAGAAGGGACAGGGCGAAGAGCAAGGAGAGGAAGACCGAGAAGAAGGGTAAGAGGAAAACTGCAAGGGGAAAAGGAATGGAAGTGGAGAAGAAAGGTCCAAGCTGGTGGGATAGACTTGGCTTACCCAAAGTGCACAGCAATAATTAAACCTTCATTAATTCCCAATGTTTTGCTTCCCTGTTTCTACCTTAAAATCATCCCTACCACAGCACGTGGATCTCAACAATATGGGATCATGCGCTGATAGTGTTTGAACAACAACAAAATGTAAAATCACCTTTGTCCTTCAGTGTTTATGTCCTTTGTGTTTCTGTGTGCTCTAAATGTGCTGTGACATTGATGATTGTGCTTAATTTATTTGCAGGGTTCTTGACCATTGTACCATTAATTATTCATGGAAACATACAAATAAGCTGCACTGACAAAAACTGTCAGTGGGAGACAGAGCTGCAGAAAACGATAACTTTGATTATTGATCGATTATTTTCTCAATTTAACTTTGTAAAATGTCATAGTGAAACTTTCACTGAGCCCTAAGCAACATATCCCGCTTTTTTTTTTTTTTTTTTTAATTTGGGCAGCAGTTCAAGGTTGATCATTTAAAAGCAGCGAAACCTCACATTGGACAGAAGCTGAGGTCCAGCTCTTCATCTGTGGTTGTTACTCCAAAATGAAGTGTTTTCTAGTACAAATCTTCACATCACATAAAAATTCACCCATTTCTTTCCTCACCAGCAGAGAAGGGAGATGAGCCCCCAGCCAAACTTCTTGATGACTTGTTCCTCAAGACCAAAGCAGCCCCATGTATATACTGGCTTCCCCTCACCGAGGAGCAGGTTGGTCGCTACACTTGTTTACCTCAGCAACTGTTAGTCACAGTGAGTGGTTTGATATTTCACTTGACCACGTAACTAGACCACGTGTTGTGTCCACCAGGCTGCGCAGAGGCTTTTGGAACGCACAGAGCGGCAAAAGGAACGCGAGCGACGGCACAAGGAGCAAAAGGAGGAGGTCAAGAAGTCGGAAGAGGTGAAGAAAGAGCAGCCAAAAGGTCAGGAGAAGGACGCTGCCGTGACAGTGAATAGTGGGGCGGATGGGGGCGGAACCAACGGAGACAGAGAGAGA